AATCAACCTCCTCGAATTTTCCCATTTCTATACCTGCTTCCATTAACTCCTGGGCTTGGGAGCTGCCTGGGATGCCCAGCTGTGTGCTGGCTTTGACCATGGGGTCAGAGAGCCTCGTTCAGCAGCAGAGCAGTATCAGGATTGCTAAGTCTCCCTTGTTTTGAGGTTTTCCAAGGTAACTGTTGGGAAAGATATCCTTATGGACTGCCATTCAGTACCGCTAGCACAGTTGATTGAAGAGTAATGCATGGTGTATGTGGGGCATTGATCCTGATGGAGCAAACTTGGCATTGACAATAGGTAAGCGTTATGCATATTTGACTGAAATTGTCCACAGCTGCTAACTTGTGCAGAATTAGAAATTTTTTAGCAGCTACTTCTGGAATTGGAGAAGCCAGAGTGCGAAGGAGCCTTGCAAGGCTTGTGGGTTTCCACCTTAGCAAACAGCTTGGTGCTCCTGGAATCCCCAGCTGCAGTGCTGAGCTTTGCCGCTTTGCCGCCTGTGGCACCATTTGCCTGCCAAGGCTGCCTGGTGTTCGGTAAGGGACAGATGGGCTTCCCAGGGGCAGGAGGGCAGGCGGGAGAGAAGCCTCTGCCCAGAAGGGAGAACTGGCAGGTCTGCAGCGTTCCTGCCTCAGTTCACCTCCCATTTCTCTTCTCGTGGGGGTTTGCAAACAAAAGGAGTCTTTCTGCAAACCTACCTTGCGCCCAGCGCTGTGCAATTACTGACTTGCTCTGTGTGCTTTATGGTGCTTTTGAGGTTTGTTAGCTTAACAAGTAACTTCTAAAATATTTGGGGACAAGAGAAGTGTGGTTTTACAGGAATGTGAACTAACTGGAAGCACTAGTGGTTGTTGCTACAGGAACAAAACCAGTTAACTAGTACACAGAGCTCTTCAAAGGTCATGGAGATCTCAGAGAGGCAAAACTGCAGTGATAGCATTTCAAGTAATGAATTTATAGCTGATTAATCATTATAATATATGAAAGGTTCTGTCTGTCTATCTTCTGGGCATCTTGGGAAACACAGGGTATGCAAGTAATTGGAAAAATTGCATTGCAAGCAGCAGTTCTTCTCCCTTGGAAATGTTTGTGCCACCTTTGAGAAAGGAATGTACAAACACTGGCTATTCCATGATTTTACTTGATTATCTAGAAACTGTCTAAACCTCTTGAGCTGGATCCCAGACCTTCTTAGGCCAAGCAGTAGCTAAGTTTGGTGGACCTGAGGGGCTTGCGTTTAAGACTGGCCAATTCCCTGCATTATGACATGCTTGAAATGATCCTGCTCAAGCAGGAGAATTGCTACGTGGTTACTAAATGAGAGCACCAGGGTCCTCAGAGGGAAGACATTTTTGTCTTTCCTATACTTAGTTTCATCTACAGCAGACTCTGCTTTCCTTGAAAAACAGGTGCATCCTTCCTGCAACTTTTGTTTTGAAGCCCATCACTTCAAGCAGAAGAGGGAAAGTGTATCTGAGGCTAAGGAAAACATGGCAAACCTGGGCTGAGGAGAACAGATTGAATGGGACAAGAGATGATGTTCTGCCTCTCTACCATCAGGTTGGGGGTTGGACATTTGAAGGTAGAGGCTGGTCCTTAAACCTAAGGCAGCCAAAAGTGCCTTCTCCGGCCTGCGAACCCTGCTGCTGCTGCCTGGAGGTTTCTGGGTGTGGAAGTGCAAGTCCTAGCATGTGTGTTGAGGGGACAGGGAAGCTGTCACAGGAAGATGGATCGGAGCAGACGTGCTCAGGTGTGGGTATGTGTTGCTCAGCCGTCCAAGCAGTGTTGAGACCTGGCTTCCTAAAGTATCAAGATACATCTTTTTTCATTCTCTTTCCCCACACCACCACTTTATTTGTTTGTGTAAGGTTTTTTTAACTTCCAGAATTTCTGTCAGGGCAAGAGAGCTTACATACTGTCCCCTGTTGGGGGCTCCTAAATAATGCAGCCATCAAGTCAGAATTTAGTGCACAAGTAATGAAATTCATAACCTGAGTTTTCTACGGTAGCATTAACTGTGACACAGATTCATCACTGGCGTATCATCATTAAAAGGCAGTGGAATTTCATCAGGGATTGATGTGATCATATGCATGTAAAGATCAAGATACAAAAAGGTGTGACTTATGTAACATAAGCATAAGCTGTAATCCAAAATCCTTCCCACATGCAGTGTGACAGTTCCTGTTCCCAGAGCAGTGATGGTTTTTAAATTTACAGGGTAAATGTGTGTGTGTGTGTTTATGTGTTTTTATTTAACTCTTTTAAACATAGTGTTGTCTTAATCTTTTTCTGAGTTGAATTGTACTTGTAGCTAAATCTGCTTAATAGTTCAGTGTTATCAAAATTCTTTATATTTTTGGAACCTGGGTGCACCTTATTACATTTTCTTACGGGGAATATAGAAACACTACTATGTCTAATGCAGTCTTAGTGAATAAAGCAAGAAGATAAATGTTATTCAGAGTTTATAATTATTATTATTATTATTAAAAGCTATCAGAATCGTATGAGAAAGTTAATGATGAGCAAAACCTGTTCTTAGTGTTCAGGATGTGTTACTTCTCCCCTTCCTACCCTTTAATGATTTGCATCCAAAAAGAAAGAGGGTGGAACTGGGCCAATTTGCTGATGAGGGTTGACCAGCAGAGTTCCCCTCTGTTGGCCTTTGGAGGGGACGGGACTTCAGGTACAGCTGCAGGTACAGAGGGAGCAGTGCTAGCGTAGCACAGGAGCATGGCATGGTTCCTGCCAGAGTTATCTCCTAGGCTGTGGGAGCTCTTGGCACCTGCTTCAAAGCCTGGCCTAAATAATGCGTTGATCTTCCACGAGGAGTTCAAAGCTGTTGAGGGAAGTAGCTGCTGGGGCCACCTGTTTGGCAAATTTGTCAATCAGATTGTACAGCTATAAGTTAATGGGGCTTTATGACAAAGGCTTATTGCTCTTTGCAGTTGTGTAGGAGTTTACAGAATTTTCCAAGGAGCTCTTTTATCTCCCAAGTACAGCAGTGATGAGGATTTGCTTCTGAAGTGCAGTGGCAGTTTGCAGCACTTGAGATGTACCTGTCGGTCCCGGATGTTTTTACAATGCAAAATACCATACTTGTTCTCTAATCTGGGATCCAGCAAACAAATCAGGGCACTGGCTTTTAGAGAATATTTGTAAAAGGAAGCAGGGGAGATCCAGTCTAGTCCTCTAAACCTGACTACACTGCTAGCATTGAACTTTCACAAGAAGGTGCCTTTTCAATCCACCGTTCCTGGTCTCCTTTGGATCTGTGTTCTCTGAACACCAAAATTCCTGGTGTTCAGGGTTAGGCTTTAATCCAATGGGGTGCTCAACATCCAAGCCCTGATCCAGCCAAGCACATGACTGACTTCAGTGCAGGTTTGTCACACAGTTAAAGTCAAGATTATCCCTAAAATATGTGAATGATCTGGGTCAGAGGTCTCTCAGTTGCAAAGTCAAACCTTTAGTGAGAAAAACAGAGCTGTAGATTGCATGGAGTATGTGCCTAATGGCCTCATGAAGGAGAAAAAATATTCATCCCATCTAATCCTTGTTTTCTATTACATACAATATGTTATTTCTGTAGATGCCCCTGACTCTGATGCTTTCCCAGCCCACTATTTTGTCTGCTCCTTCTGATGATTTGTGGTTTGCTCTGTTGCATGTAGGAAGCAACCACAGAAGATGTGGAGATGGGCCTGGGGAACCCACAGGGGAAAAGAGCTGGCATGGAGATGGCTTTGTGCTTCCCTCCCTACTGCACAGATAGATGCACTTTCTGGGGCAGGACAGTACAAATAAGAATCAGCAGATCTTTGACCATCCAAAAATCCCTGACTATCCTCACGTGTGCCAAAACCCACCAGCCACACCCTCTGAGTTTAGGGCCTTGTTATAAATATCATGAGGTTTTGAACACTAATAATGTTAGGACTGGTTTTATTTATCCAGTAACATTTAGTCTTCAGGGTGTTTAATATTGACATGGGGTCTCTGGGGAGAGGGATTGATTTTGCTTGGCTTTGTTGTAAAGCCTTATGCATCTGGTTACACTTAAGATGTTAGCTCTAGCTAACAACAAGTCTCTTGATAAAATTCACAATTACTGGCAATACTGTGGACATAGGCTTATCTCCTGGGCACATTTTGTAAAATTAAGCTATTTTCATTAAAAGAACAAAGAGTGGTATGGTGATGGAGCAGCTGTCATATTTTATTACAAAACACAAATATGTGGGAAATCAATTACAGCACGAGTGCTGCACGATGCATATTTCCAGTAATCCCCCACGGCCGGGGGAAGGTAGAAGGCTGATCTGAGTGCAGAAGCAGATGGCAAGCAACTTTAGATAGCTTCACTGCCATTTTTACTCTTTCAAGTGTTTGTGCTTCTCCTTTGATCTTCAGAGCTTGAGTTTAACATGTTTCATCTTCTTTCATTTACTGTTTTCACATTTAACTTTCCTTTTAAGTAACTTTTGCTTGGTGGAGCTTGTATTAGTATGGGGGTTTGTTGTCTTCCATACTGAGATATTTAAGAAGAAAGACAGTTGCGGTCTTTTTTTAGTGTTGTTCACATCCAGTGAAATACCAAATGCATCACTACAGAGAACTTCACTGTTCACCATGCACAGCTGTAGTGATACAGTGAAAAAAATCCCACCTCGCAAAGTTACTGAGACACATTATATATTAAGTTGCAGTAGACTTCCTTGAAAGTTAGGTACTGTGGGAGTGTGATGGTACCTCCAAAAGAAACACTGGTGCAAGTTTGGTTTCATCATTACCTGTTACATTTAATTGTTAAATTATTCTTAAATAACTAAGCTTGCATTACTGCTCTCTCTGCATATAACATTTTTCTCTTCACTTAAAATAATTCACGTCTAATATAAAAGCATCTTGCAGTGTTTTGAAATAGAGCAGCAAAAGCAGCGTGGGTCGATCTGAATAACCCTATGTGATCTGTATCTCTGCTTTTTCTACAGCTGTCAGAAATGATAGAAACAAAAAGAAGAAGGAACCTTCAAAGCAGGAGTCCACAGAAAACTATGAAATGACAGCAGAGTTGGATGATCTCACTGAGAAGATCCGGAAAGCTCACCAGGAAACCTTCCCCTCACTCTGCCAGCTGGGAAAATACACTACAGTGAGTATGGTTTGAGTCACATACATTCTGAATATGCCTGGAATTGATGTGAGTTTTGGAGGCTTCAGGCATTCTAAATAGATGCAGTAGTAGATGCACTCCTTGCACCTCCTTAGTCATGAAAAAACACAGGTATGTGTACAAACGCATGCTGGGGAAGAGAAATTGCACTTAACTGTAAGCTTTACTTAGCGCTATCATGAGAGACTGACTGAAGGATTAATCCAGCCAAATGACGAGCTCGGAGTCCATGAGTCAGTTACATTCCATTATTCATTAGAAATTTGTTGGCTTCCAAAGACGTGATCTCTGCTTGTGCGTCAGCAGATTACAACTTTGCAGGTGTAGGGAGTTCTTAAATGCTGCTGGATTACTGGTGATAGTCCCAAAGCTACCAAGGTCAAGGAAAATATGAAATGTCTAAGTATAAACCAGTTTCCAAATTGCTCATTTGAAGTTTGTTCGTACAATCAAAGAATATCCTGAGTTGGAAGGAACCCACAAGGATCATCGAGTCTAACTCCTGGCTCTGCAGAGGACAACCCCAAAAATTACACATCCTTTCTCAGTCTACCAAAATACCACAAAGTAGCAAAAACTTCTGCTGCTTTTAGAAACAAAAAATCAGCTCACCCTATCAAGAAGTTCCGTAATGTGGGAATATCTCCAGAGATGAGTCAGGGAAACCATTTCTTTTCTATATGTATCTATGTTGCTAAGTACAGGGAAGTTCAGCGATAATTATTGATTTCAGAGAAAATTCAGTGTCAAATTTGTAAATGCAGTAATAAAAGAGATGCTAAAAAGTAACTACTAGGTAATGTTCAGAGCCTGACTTTGCTGGGTCTGGTCTTGCTGTGGGTTGCAGCAGCACTGGCTGTTTCAGAGGGATGTGCAGAAGGTTCTGAAGTAGTCAAGCATGTTCTCTCATTGCCAAGAGCAGGAGTTCAGGAGTGGCATGCCTGGGGCAAGGAGACACCTGCCTCCATGGTCCTTGCTCTCCAGCCTCAGCTGAAGCTGTGGAACCGAGCCCCAGAGGCTTTGAGTAAATTTTCTGCTACTGAAACAAACATTAAATTTCTCAGAGTGATGTAGACAAATCCCTGTGTGGCATCAATATTCGCTTTTTTAGCAAGCAGGATGCTGTTTTGTGGCATACTCATCTATTTACAAAACAAAGTGCAAGGCTCAAAACTCTCAGGTCTAAGTGTAAGACTTTGTATTTAAGTGCAAGAAAAGCAAGCACATATGGTGTGATGTTAGAAAAAAAAGTGTATTTTTCATGTTGCTGAAAGTATTTTCACAAACATTTTTCACATTTAATTATGAGACCCACGTAAACTGGTTAGCACTGGAGAAGATGCCTGTCCTCTGCATGCTTCTCTGGTCCTCGTCCTGCTTGGGTGGGATGTAGTCAAAGCAGTCAGTGTAGGCGTGCTGGTAAATATTGCACAGGCAGACCCACAGGGACTAGTGCAGTGTGTGAGGCTGGAAGCTTGGAAGCAGCCAGCTGGTGACATAACTGAAGGCAAAGCTGGAGACAGTGGGACTCACAGTGTGTCTTCAAAGAAATTCCTGGCTTAATGCCCTCCACCCCTCCTCTCTGCATGTGCTGTTTCATCCTTGTCTTGGAGTGAAGATCTTCCCAGTCTTCCAAACAGGCTGTCACACTCCTGCAAATCCAAGGGTGCCTCTGAGTAAGTATGAAAATCTTTCCAGTTCTAAGACAGTGAGTTTATGCCGTGTAGGAGATGTGATCATGTGTCTGCAGCTGGGACATGTAGCCAGGCTGGTACGTGTGCCAGAGTTTATTGCTCCCAGGCTGCCCTGCAAGTGGCCTGGTTATCCCAGAGTAACCTATCAGTGTACTTCCCAGCAGGAACGTGTTGTTATATGCTTACATGTTCTCTCTGAGAACAGAGTGCACTGCAGCTGATGTGATGGTACTGCGTACTGGTAACTGCCAAAGATCCTGGAGGGATGAAAGATAAACCTGGGCACCTCTGTGCTTGTGTTAGGTATTGGACGCTTAAGTATCATTAATATTTTAGCTCTTGAAATGATACAAGTGGATGAAATTGGAGCGGGTCTTGTTGCATATCACACCCACCACTGATGCATTCATCCTTAGGTTCCTTGTGACCCCCATGGTGAGTCTGTGTCTCTGTTGGAATTTCAGAGCCCTTAATGACAGCACCTGGATCTCAGTAATGAACGGATGAATCTGGTCTGTCTATGGAGCACAAGTAGCCATGACCTGACCACACTCTCTCTGAGGCTGGATATTGGTCATTCATATCTCAGGCCAGATCAGACAGCTCAAGGAAAGAGATTTCGTGTTTTAGCATTGGTCTGTTGGAAGGCTACAACAGTAGACTGCTGCACGTGGCCAAAGTCCCTTCAGCTTCATCATGGTTTGGTGCCATACAAGTTTCAATAACAAAATTACAGTGGAAGAGTTATTTTTGGTTTACATTGAATCTTTGAGAATGATGCAGCTTCCTTCAAAAGCTACATCAAAACCAGTAGAGGTGGTGCTAGATACTGTCTTCTTACTGCATTCTGATAATCTCTATGTGAAATGCAGGGCATTTAAATCTCTCATCTAGCTAAGCTCTGGTGGCCACTCCAGCTTTTTAGGTAGGAATTCAATGTTAATTCATTTTTATGCTGTCTCTGCCCAGATGTGGCAGGGACAGAGTACCACTGGGGCTGGACTAAGGGTTATCTTCACCTCCAGCTGCCCATCAACCCAGGAGCAGGGAAGAAGCCTTTCTGCAGCAGTTGAGGATATGGGAGAATATGGAATGTGGAAGGTGTGTGTGCTGGTCAGAGGAGCACAGCTTTGGTGCTTGGACAACACCACTAGCTGCTGATCAAACGGCGGCACTCTGGCAATAATCTGAGACACTTGAAATAGAGACCAGAAGTCAAATAAAAAGGAGCACGCAGCCCTTTTTCTAAATGTTGAGTCCAAGGGGAGCTAGAAACCTATGCCACTCTGCTTTTCTTGATAGTAACAATCTAGTACAGGTAGAAAGTTGCCACCAGTCCTGCTTTTATGCCCAGTTCTGCAGGCTGTCAGTCATGAAGCATGGCACTCTCACACTAAGGAGCACACAGATTGCTTTTATAACCTTAGAGTTTTTAATTTAATTCTCTAAGCGAGGGGTGAGAAGTGAGTGTATTGAACCAACATGTATTCCCTTGAATTTCATTAGCTTTGCACTTGCGTGCTGGTAGAAATGGTGGATGGAAGAAACTGTTCTGCAAGCGTGGCTTCTGTGTGCCTTTGGCTATGTGAGACTGTTTTAAAACAAGATTTTGTCTGTTGCTAAAAAGAGCAAAGAATTTTAAGCATAAGAATGTGAAGTAAAGAAGACCTTACAGAGATACAATAAAAAAAAAAATCTATTCAGATGTTTGGCTTGCGTATCTGGCTCCTCTCGCTCTTGAGTACTGCAGCCTGAGTTTTCCAGAGGGATCCCCACACACACACACACACTGTGTATTTTTACCTGTTAAAAAATGGAGGCATTTGCAATTACCATTTTTAATATCCATCTGCTCTTTAAAAAGAAAAAGTGTCCCTATCTGTAATAATTACCATACTTTGCATAGTTAATAGAAGTCTACTTAAAATAATGGGAGAATAGCACTCATATTAAATTCCCTGGGTCATTTGATTTAACAGTTGCATTTGGTGGGCAGTGACAAGTATAGCTCTGCCAATGGTGAGAATCAGCAAGCTGTTTAAATGTAACGGGTTCCAAGAGTCCATCATAAATAGATCTGTTTTATTACTGTCATCCAGGTAAGAGAGAGTGCCGTAGTAATTTCTCTGGAGATGTCATACTTTATAGTATAATTGAGTGTAACTACAGTGCTTGTCCCTTGAGACTGGTATTATTTGTAAGTCTACAGCTGTGTTACATCCAGCCTTGTGATACAGGGAGGATAAAACAGAAAATAATTTTGGCTCTGCAGACCCTTGCTGCGGGTTCATCTGGGTTGCTGGAAGTGAGGAGGTTTCACGTCTTGGCAGCATTTGGTCCTTTGTAAGTGCTGGGGTTGAAAGTTACATGACTATTGTTCTGTGCCATTGCAGAGGAATATATATCTAAACCTATATATCTATATATAGATATATCTCCTGATGCTGGGACTGAGCAGAAACATGTGCTGTGGTCCTCAGTGAACTTGCTGGAGCTGGAGTGCGTTGCTGCTTTTACTAAAGAGGCATCGAGAGTGTTCTTGATTAGGGCAGAGTGCCCCTGTGAGCCTTGTTTCCTTTGTAAAGTGGATTTTAAAGACAGTAGGGATTCTGCTACTGTGTATGTTTCCACGAGTACCTCATCCCGTATTGTTAATGTGGAGATAGAGCAGCCTGCAATGAAAAAACAAAAATGATGGAAAAAATGGGATCAATTTATGTGGCAAAAATGGCTGTTTAATTGGATTTCATAGCAAGGTTGGGCTTTTCCACTGATAAAGATGCCACTAGGGTGTATTACAGTATTGTTCCACCATATGTGCACTGGTGCATAGGCCTGAAAAACATGCGAGACTGCTCCTGGAAAAGACACCCAAAAAACCGCTTCAGTAAAATATTCAGGAAAAGTCATAGCATCTGCATCTTTTTCACAGCATGGATAGAGGAGATCCCCAGGCAAATTTAATCAGAGTTTCTATTGTGCATTGTTTTAACCCCGTGTTTTATTGTTCAACCTCTACATTGATTTTTAGTTAGTTTGGGGGTTTAGATATTGAGAAATGTTGCTAAAAATTCTTTTTTTTTCTGTGACACTTGCATTGATGTTTGTTAACAGATAGAATGTTAAAACTCTTTGCATTTGTAGCATGTCAAAGATAATGTGTAAACCACATTAGCTCCAATGCTGAGGGATCTGGCACCCGGCATAATAAAACATCTGGTTATTTTGAATTTTATATTTTATATTTTATATTTTATTAACTGCCCCTTCTCTTCAGTTTGCATAATAGTGAGTTAGATTTACATTTGTTAAGATGGCTGTGCATTACTCTTAATAGAAGACACGTCAAACTTCCCATCTCCAGCACTGCAGCATGATAAAGTAACCTCATATGATACTGATGAAGATTTCGTTCACACTTGCTGGTTTCATGCAACGTCTTTTTTTCCAGATGGATACCCTATTGTAAAATGATTTCCTGCTTTAGGCTCTGCTTTGTGTAGCTCTCTGCTATGCCATCTTTCTATGAACTGGATAAACTGCCTATTAAATTTAATTACAGCCTGAATGACTGCACATCTTGATCTTATTTTTTCTCCAATGTACTGTATTTCACCAAGGTCCTTGAGGATGAAATAAAATAAATCTGAGGGATGCATACTCCAGTAGCCAAAAGAAATGTTTCAAAGGGCATTACAATGACTGTTAACCCATTAGTTTTGGACCATTTTGAAGGCAATTCTTTAGGTTTAGCATTATAAAGACATTTTCTTCTATTTTTCCTTCTGTCATTTAAAAAAAAAAACAAAACAAAAGAGAGGATGTTCCCAGAATAAAAATTCAAATAGAAGTGATGAAATTAATTTATTATCCCTTAAAAAGAGGGGTAGCAGGAAAGAACACGTATTCTGCTTTGAACTGTTCAGTATGATTAGCATATATTTTTTGCAATTAGGGCATGATGTAAATATTACTGGCTTGAATCTCCACCCTGTTTCAAATTAGAGGGAATGTTGGGCTGGCAGTGCATTGGGGGCCCGTCAGGACTTTCGTCTTTGCACCTGATGGTGGTGGTGTCTTGTGAAGGCAGCACTAGGGGGGGATCCAGAGCTTCACAGACAAACTGAGCTTAGTCCACATCCCCTCATCAACCTCTTCCAGCCCTGTGTCCTTCCTGTGAACCGAAGAAAGCTGACAAGATGATGGCTTCCCTGGTTTCCAAGGAGGTGGACGTCCTCCCCATCAGTAGTGATAGTAGCAGGCTCACTGGAGATGTTTCCTCCAAGGAAGTGTGATCTGTGTAAATTGAATGCTTTTTGATGGCTATTTAATCTGCCATGTCTGTTAGACTTTTAGGTTGAGACTCTGCTCATTTAACTTTAATTTTAAAGTTAATTTAACATTTTAACTTCAACCAGCTAAGACTGAGGCAGCTGATCACATCAGCTTTGTCAGCAGCTGGGGAGAAAACCACTGTCTGAGGGGATTTTCCTTTGCCTGCCTCAGGCACCTATTTGGAGTAGGGGAGCCTTTTTTTCGTGATGCCTCTTTCTTGGTTAGTCAACAAGGTCAGATAAGAGGTGGAAGGGAGAAACTGCCTTTGGTTTTCTGTGGCTGCAACTCAACACCTTTTTCAGATTTGTTACCAGCATATTTTTACAGGTAAAACTCCTCTTGCAATGAAGAGGAGATTACCCAGAAGCTGAAGGCAATGTACACTAAACTTGGTGGCTCATGAAATAGGGAAAGGGGACATCATCATGCTGGCTGCATCCTAGACAGCATTGGACCATATGCTGGCAAAATGGGAATATGCTGCACGCAAGGGCAGGAGGAGAGGAGCTTTGGGTATTTCAGAGCTCCGTTGTTACCTGTTCCTTGTCACTCTGTGGGAATCGTGGGTGGATCGGGATCAACTCACCAGGTCTCTTCATGACACTGGCTGTTGTTGGGCTAGTGTCAAATGGGTCACAGCAGCTTTTGAGTCAGCTGGTTCTTGGCTGACACATTCAGCTTTTTCAGGGGTTAAGTGGTTATTCTGAATGTATGAAAATGTGATTTTAATCACAAACTTAACACAAGTTTGCTATGCATCCTAGCAAACTTTTTGATTGAGATAGGTGAATATATAGAAACAGTCTCTGAAAGATGCCACTGGAATGTCCTCGTAACACTTCAAAACAGTGTCAGATGCACCATCAAATAAGCATATAGCATTTGTCAGCACACATGGGGTTTTTCTTAACATCGTGTAAAGAAATGCTCTGTAAGTCATGGGAGACCATAGCTTCAGAAAGCTGTTGCAGAGCCACAGAGCAGATAAATTAAGTAGAACTAATTTGGTAAGACCTTAAGTATGTGAAACTGTGTTCCAAATATTGTGCTGCTTTTTTCAGATGGGGACCCGATATTCTTCTTCCACTGTTCATTTATATTTTCTGGGGTACAACTGTAAATTGTCTTTCTCAATGCACTTATTATATAATGGCAAGGAAGAATAATGATGGTGGCATTTGGAAATGTTTAAGTTCGTTTGTATTCCATGTACAGATGACCTCTGCAATCATAAGTAACAGAAATATCCAAGGAATTTTCAGGCTATTAATCCAAGTTTAAAACCACCAACATCCCAACAGCAAGCTGCAGAAAATGCCTGGAATGTTAATAGAAAGTACTTCTGGAAGGAAAACTTGGTTGTTGTTTCCTTCCCTTGAAAGCCGTTTACTGAAAGAGACATGTTGATTTATGGTGCCTTCTGTCTGTCTTTACAGAACTCCAGTGCAGATCATCGAGTTCGACTGGACCTTGGGCTTTGGGACAAATTCAGTGAACTTGCAACAAAGTGCATTATTAAAATAGTGGAATTTGCAAAGCGATTGCCAGGCTTTACAAGTTTGACCATTGCAGACCAAATAACTCTACTTAAAGCAGCCTGCCTGGACATACTGGTAAGTATTTTTAACATCATTGTTCTCCTACTAATGTGTTTTCTATTTTTCTTTTTACTGTAATTGACAGGGAGAAGGGGCCAAATACTGCCCAGGCCTTATGGTTGCAAAATTGAACTTACCAGGTAGTCAGGAGTGGACTCTAGCACACCTACAGAGGTGTGTTATATGGGATGAAATTGCTTTTCAGAATAAGTCCTTACAGTTCATGGGTCTCAGTAAAAAGGGCATGTTGTGGTACGTGGCAGTAACTTGTGCCAGCATGCCAGTGCTGCAGACAACTGCGAAAGTGGCCGCTGTAATCGGCTCAGTACAGATTTTAGCTAAATGTAATTTAATTTTAAATAGGCAAACATACAACCTGCAGGAGGAAACTGTGCAGGTGAGCTGGGAGTTTTTCTCCAGACCTTGCCTTGCCACTATGTCAAGGCAAGCTGTCTTCCTCTCCCTTTGTCTCCAGTTGTTTCTGTCGCACTGACCTTCAGAGAAGCCCTCTGGGATCTTAGCATTTCCTTATCAAGACCCTAGAGGTCTTCAGGCTTTTAGTGGTGAATATGCTTCTTATTACTGGTTGTAGCAATAACTTTCACAAAACAGTATTTTCAATGTAAACTTATTTTACATGTTTCCTTCTGACCACAAACCTTCAGGTCTTCATTAAGTCAAGCATGGCTAGCCAAGAAGCCCATTGTAGGATGGCTACTGTAGATACATTTTTGGCATGACACAGGAGTTTAAACTACAGAATTTGAAGTTGAAGTAATTAATCTTGGAATTTCTAAAAGTGCATTGCTTCAAACAGGATCATATTGAGGTGGATGTTAACTGCTGTGACCTTTTCCTCTTGTTTTGTCAAAAACTGTTTGGAAGAATCGCATCAAGAGAGGACACTGATGAAGGAGGAAGAGGGGTAGGAAAGGGGAAAGGATATTGTTATTTGGCCTATAGAAAAAGGGAAGGTAGGGGTTGCCCTGCCATGCTTGAGAGTCACCTCTTGTTGTTCTCGTCATCCAGGTGCTCATTCAGACTTGGCCATCTCACTGTTAATGAGAGCGGTCCCTCGGTGGGGCAGGGCCATTCGTTACCAATTGCACTGTATCGCCAACTCTGCCCTGATCAGACACTGTTACGTTCCCCTTACGCCAAAAGGCAGATGGTAATCAATAATCTGAGTGTATTCTGCCAGAGGTAGGGGAAAGGGAGAGCTTTGTGCTTTGTTGTAACCAGTAACAAATAGTTAATACAGAAACTACCCCAAAAAGGTAGGGAAGAGCCAAGATATAGCAAGAGTCTGCACATCTAAACTCTTTAACCCTAAAACTTCAGCCTTGAAGCTGCTGCCCTCTGTTTGCTTGTGCCGTGCCCTGGCTCCATAGCTGCTGGAAAAAAAATACCCTAATTCTGTAATTGCTCAGGATCCTGCAAGCTCCCAGTGCTCTTTTTGGGATGAGTAGTGGGAGCTTGCCCTGGGAGCGTGCACAGCCCCTCTTGCACAGGGTCCCCTTAGCAGCTCCACTCAGTGCTTCCATCCCCAACACCAGCTGGGCAGTACCAAATACTGAGGAGAGCCTTTCTGTTAGGGATTTTATCTGAAGTGCCTCGATAATAGCACTTCACAGCCTTTGATCAAAGTGATTAAATAAAAGCCTAATTGCCATAAAAGAGAATGAAGCAGGCGATAAACGGTGACTTTATTTCAACTAATTAATGGATAGAAAAGGTTGATTCTTCAATACAATTCACCCCTTTTACTTTTTGGCCATGTGGCAACCTTCAAGCTCCTGTTATAAACTTTATTGAGACCTGTCACTCCTGATCACCTGCTTGTTCTCCTTTTTATTTTTCACGAAGCCAGAGAAGGTGACACATCTGAATGAGCAGGGCATAGCGAGCGCCATAGCTGCCTGCAGCAGGGAGGAGCTGAGGCTTTTACAAAAACAGGAATAGATCCGACATGGTTGCTGCAAATAGTCCTAAGTTTCCTGTGTGACGTTTATGTAAACTTTATGTGTCTATTTTATGTGCTGCTTAAAAAGAAAATGGGATAATTACCATGACACAGTAATGTGTACTGCGTACGCTGCCTGTGAAATGCTGTATCCATTAAACCCACATCACCTGTGCATAATCAGAATTGCAATGCCTCTCTCTATCTTTATTTAAGCTAAACTTCAGTACTGGAGCAGTGTTTTAATAGCACATATTTTCCCCCCAACAAGCCAGTTGTCCTAGTTATGAGTGTTTCAAATGTTTCATTTGGTTGTGCCTTGAGAGGCAGAGCGAGTGCTGTTTCCCCTCCTGCTGCAGGAGCACCCGCTTCCAGTGTTGGCCTGTGGGCTGCTGTGTGAGCACTGCCAAGCAGGACCATGTGCCTCACCAGTGTGCACTCACGATCCTGATGCTGTGCAATTCCCTGGGCATGTTCCCAGAGCTGCGGCACACAGGAGGATCAGCATGGGGCTCCCAGGTAGGGTGGCCAGGCTTCCCTGCCAGCAGAACCTTGTTTTCACTGTCCACCTGCCCTTAAGCACCAGCTATGGGGAGTCTTAAGCATTTACAGACTGTGCTGAGGGCACTGCTCAGTTGTTTCCTGTGGCTGTGGATGCTTAAGCCCCTCTTAAACAGGCCGACAAGGGAAATGGTGCCAGAAGCTCAGTCAACTCTGCTGGGTATGTGCCAAAGAATTGTTTTATATACAAACAAACAAAAACTCTGGAAGGGAAATAACATCAAGGTTTGCAAGGCAGCTGGAGGCGCCAGTTGAGGATCGTGGAATTTATATCTGCTCTAGTTCCAAAAGTTTCAGGGATAAATATTACTAAAATTCAGTCAGTAACCCTCGTAAAAGCGAGTGCTTCTGTCTGCTGGTACACTGGCCCAGCAGCAGTCAAGCATCCCCAGCCTCACTGAGCTCTGGCAAAATGAATGTGGAAAGGGTCCAGAGTCCAGCCTGTCTTAAATCCAATGGATAAAAACTGGAGAAGTCCTTGAATGCTAATCCTTAATGATGTAATTCTTGCTTTCTATTGTAAAACTCTATGTGTTAATGTTAGGAAGGCATTTGTGTGTGCAGAACAACCTGTGCTCATGGGGTTTGGCAGCACCATGGGGCATCATTGTTTCAGTCACCTGCCTGGTTTTCTCCTCTCAGGGAACTGTCCCAGCCAGCTAAGGCAGCTAATGTGTAACAACAGGATTTCTTAAAAAAAAAAAAAGGCCTAGCTTGCTTGCCTTACTTGATCTGTTTAAAATCAGTAACAATTCTGTGGTAGCAACAATTTTGTAAATGCAGCTTTCTGGGTGACTTTGGTTTTGTGCCTCTGGTAGGGTTTTTGTTTTGCACTTTACAGCTGGCTCACAGGAACCCCTAATGCTTTAATATCTAAATATTCCTTAAAACAAAGGATCCTTTAATCGCAAGGAAGAACCATATTTATGGTTGCAAGTGGCATTTGAGAGCAGAGTGACAACTAAAATACTTGGCTTCGTTACAAAATCTAAACAACATTGAGGACATTAGGAGTTCAGTTTAAAACGGAGAAAGATACCGTGCCTTCTTATTCTGAAGTGCTGATGTTTCCCATATGTTCTTCAGTGAATATGAGTTTGAAATCAGCTTCACTTTGACACTGGAAGTTTGCCCAAGAACAGTTTAGCAGCGAATCAGCAATATCCACGGCATTTTGCAGATTTTGATGAAGAACACAATTTAAAAAAAAAAAAAAAAGAAAAACACCATTCCAAATGATCTGTCTTAGAGTTTAATAACAGCGTGTTGTGGGATAATGTCAAAGGAATGCAGGGGAAACCTGAGACCCAATTGCTGCAGTCAAGCTAAGTGCACTGCTGAAAACACATAGTTGATCTTCAGCTGTGCCCGTGCCCAGCAGAGCCACTCAGGGTACAAAGCATTTGGGGTACAAAGGCCTGAACTCTACCTTTTGCAAAAACCTGTCCTACTTGCTGCCTGAGCCTGGAAGTAGCTAAATGCCATGGGATCTCCATGTTATAATGATAAATTTTGCAAGGCTTGAGGTCCCTTTCTGTGCATGCGCAGAGAGGCTGGCTCAAGGCTGAATAACCTAACCCCAAATTCATTCCTGATGAGGATCCAGCCTGGAAGTCTTTCTCTGCGTTAGCCCTGGGGAGGCAGTGATCTGGTACCTCTTTGCTGAGCCCCCCTGGCATACACCCCCAAAAGAAGTGGGGCTTATGGCACTAGGAGACAAGCACAGAGAGCTTGGCTGCAAGGGAGCCAGCAGCCTGTTGTATGGTGGGAGGCATCCACTGGGCCTCTGGGTTGTTTGGGATCACCACTTCAGGGCACTCCAGTCCCTCTGGGCTGTGAGTCTCTGGGCAGTGCAGTGCTGGCAGCTGGTGTCCAGACTTGCCATCTGAGGAGGATCTGGAGGATCTGTATTTGCCAGCCCTGCTTGGGCAGCTGCCGGGAAAGCTGCAGGCAGCCTTCGGAAAACACCACAGCATTGCCCAGTTTAGCTCCAAGTCCTGCTCTACTAATTTGTTGGGCTGGGAGTCCTGAGGGTATGGAGGGGAGAAGCTCTTGTTGCTAAGGCTCATCAATTAAAATAGCATTGGAATAAAAAGGGCTGCCTTTTCCCCTGGCCAAGCTGAGGGAAAATCAGTACCAGGTAAGAAGTTCCTTGTTCTTCCAGAAGCTGGATACTTGATCATTGCCAGCCACACACCCTTACTGGAAGGCAGCTGCTGTATGTGCAGGCCTCAGATAGGAAGAGATGCACTCCAGTTTCTCTTTCATGCCATTAGAGAAAGAAACCAAGTAATCTTGGTTTTCACAATAAATATGCAGTTTTCAATCCTCTCTTTTCTTGAAAACAATATATTCTCAATGTTTCTTCTTGCTATACAATCTTTTAATGATTTAAAAGGGCAACCCGCAGTGAACTTCAAGAGAGAGCACAGCCAGAGGTTACTGGCAGTGCCAAATGTGGTAAACATGCTGCCTCTTATTGACAGGGTGCCTTGCTTTATAATGTTAATTTTTGCTAATGATACTGAAATACACATTGGCTATTATATAAAACCTTTGGAGCAACCAGCAGCCTTTTAAGATTACTTATATTAGTGGGGAATTTGTGGTCACTGAAGAATTCAAGTGCTCTGTGTTTGTGCCTCTCTTGGTCATTGATTTAAGTAATGTCAAGAACTTACTCTAATTCAGGGTTAAGGAAATTATGTGAAACCACATAGAGTTTCAGTGATTCAATGTATACCCACAGTGTGGACAAGATTATTGCTAGGATAGAAAATAGTTGAAGATCCTTCTGCAGAAGTACACCCTTACCAAGGAACCGAAGAAGAGAAATACAAGCTTCCCTATAGGTTTCTTACAGACAATGTTCTTCTCATTCTCCTCCCTGCTTATTTGGAGCGGTGTTGCCAGGCAAAGATGAAAGTGGGAGAACCAAGCCCAGACTGGTCAGCTGCCAAGTGCTGGGGCCTCTGACTCAGAGCCTCGGCAGCTATAGGAATAATTAAGTTCTCCCAGTGCTCACTTACATTCATGTAAATCTTTTTTGTTGAATCTTTAAGACCAAGTAGGATGGCTGTATGGGAAATAAATACAGTCAAGCCCTGAAAAAACACAGCTGTAGTCTTAGCTCAGCTAATCAGCTAGATTTCAGAAAGGTTTTAGTTTAGTTTAGTTTAGGGATAAGCCTTCTCCCACCTCTGATTGTTTTAAACATTAAGGATTGATATATATAACAGAAATATGTCAACATGATGGCCATCTCTTTTATTTGATCCTTAAGGCAGTGTTCATTAATTGCAGCTGTACAAATGATCCCATGCTGTAAAGAGTCTATCACAGGACACATCCTGGGTTTGCTCCAAGAGGCAAAAGCAGTTCATGCAGGCACTCACTCTCTCTGGCCACGCTGCCACCTCCGCTGTGACAGCACTCTTGGCGCTGCGGTTACCCCAGAGGCATTTACTAACAAAATGCAGAGCATCCTCGGTGTTTTATTCATGTGTTTTGCATTCCTCCCATGTCCAGTTAGAGGTGTGAATCCCCATCCTCCCCTCAAACGCTCTTTCATCTGGGGTCAGCACTGGGTGGTTGTTGGCATACAAGCAAACTTGCCAAAACCAACACTGCCTGGGCTTGCGCAGGAACGGATGGCACTGTCAGCAGTGGGAAGACAGGCTTTGCACCAGGTAGGCAGGGCGTGCCACTGCCCGGGGCTCCAGAGGGGGAAGTGCCAGAGCCTGCAGGAGGGCTGGAGGCCAGTAGGCTGGTGAGGAGGTTTGGTGCTACAGCACACGGAAGTAACAACCACTATAAAAGAAGAAAAGCTGGGCCAACTCCTCTGGCTGGGCTGCCCTGCCACTGGGAGGTTCAAAATTTGATAATCTGTTCAGGTGTGAGTTCCCAGGCTGACAGGGCAAGCAGTGCTCCAAAGAGACTGTACCTGCAGCTACTGGGGAGATGGAAGGTTTTGCACAGCTCTCCAGGAAGCGCTTGGATGGGGTGGTGTTCCCATAGCAGTGTTTGCCTGTCTGCTCTCTCAGAAGAGGGAAAGGCACCCAAAGCACAAGTTATGTTCTGCCTCTTTTGGCAGCTCACAGCTGTCCACACTCACCACAAAGCAACATTGTCCTTGCCAAAGACACAACCCAGAGAAGCACTATCATGAAAAACTGGTCCCCAAAATTGATGAGAGATGCCTGTGTTCGAAGAGGTGAGATACTTTTAAGATCTTGTTGGATCAAATCAGCAGTGCAGTAGCATTTTATGATTAGGTGCAAGTGGCAGACTAATTAAAGAGCTGTTTAGGTGCATGTTATGGTGATGTTAGTGACCTGAGTGGTGAGAATTGCAATGAAGTTTTGATTATTTCATAACTAGAGGGAAATTTCTGTTCTTAAATTTCTGTTACTAAAAAATACCCATAGTCTATCGAGTATATTTAAGTTGTACCAGACAAGTTTTGTGCTACCAGAACTGAACAAACTGGTGTTTGATTTCAGATTGTTTTGATGTGACCAAGTACTGCAGTTCCGTGGAGTCATTTGCTGCATCGAGAAAATGCAGCAAACCTCTCATGGATTAAATTCTTCAGATTTCATTTTTCTGTTTTGTCCTTCCACAGATCCTTAGAATTTGCACAAGATACACACCAGAACAAGACACCATGACCTTTTCAGATGGCCTTACCCTAAACCGAACTCAGATGCACAATGCCGGATTTGGCCCGCTGACTGATCTCGTGTTCACCTTTGCCAATCAGCTCCTGCCTTTGGAAATGGATGATACAGAAACGGGTCTCCTTAGTGCCATCTGCTTAATCTGTGGAGGTATCGTACAGCATAAACTCAGATGCATTTGAAAAGGACAGACACGATAAGATGATCTTCATATATGTTTTACACGTTTTGCTTTCCTTTACTTAAACGTGTATATATATTTGTAATATATTATATAAGCTACTTAATGCTAAAGGCTTGTTTTCTGCTGGTGATAGTTATTTGTTTTGTTATTGATACTTTAAAAAAATGAATTGAATCATTCTGTCAAGCAACCAGTCCTATTATTTGCCTGACAAAGGACACTGAGGTATCTCACAGAATGGTTGGGGTTGGAAGGGACTTCTGGAGTTCACCTGGTCCTGCTGCATTTTTTGCTAAGTGGTATGTGGGTACCTGTATGAATGAGCTTTCTTAGAGCAAGATGCCCAATAACACAGCTTTTACTCATAAATATAATTGTATGCCTTTGCATTAGTTACACTTACATGGATGTCGTTGGTGATAACTTTCTTTAGAAAAATAATGTATTATACTTCCAAATTGGGGCTGATTACAACTCAAAAAAATACAAAAAGCGAAGCCTCAGATAATTTTCAAAATCCTCTGTAAGTTTCTGTTAGTTTAGCCACCTGATCTCTCTCCTCCTTTGCAAAATTTGGACTAGCAATAGAAGCACACCTTGTCTAGTTGCACCATTTTGTTGAAATACAAACCGGGTGCTACCAGTGAACGTTTAAAAAACAACACTTTGTTGGCAGCGGCCCTTTAGTACAAAATCATTTCAATTTTATGTGTCTCTAACTGTAACCCATCAAAAGCATTGATGGGCTCCAAGATGTCAGTGATATGTGACTGGTGCATCCTGGTTTAGGGGGGACGTTTGTTGTCACTCAAGCCAGCACTGCCATCTGCTGATACCAGATGGTAACTCACTTTATTGTAGCAGTGATAACAAAAATTAGCTGTAATCTCTATGTATATACCTGGGTAGTTTATCAGTTTATCAAACACATATAGAATTAATTCCAAAATATTGTTTGCAGCAGGGTGTTTTCCCCTTGCAGAGGAAGGTACAAGAGCAAATTGGTAATTCTTGTTTCAGAAAGCCGTGGTTTATCCTTTTCCTACGGAATGCTCACTGCAGAGTGTAGGTTGTTAAGTGGAGTTCTAATCAAGAACATGGAGGAGCTTCTGTGATTTGCAGTTTGTTTAAAAAAATAAATACTTAAAATCAAATGAGTGATATGACACTTTTCTACAGATCGCCAGGACCTTGAAGAACCAATGAAAGTGGATAAGCTTCAGGAACCCTTGCTTGAAGCACTGAAAATTTATATCCGAAAGAGACGACCCAACAAGCCTCATATGTTCCCAAAGATCTTAATGAAAATCACAGATCTTCGTAGCATCAGTGCAAAAGGTACAGTGCCTCCTAATAACTCAGCAGGAGTGGCCCCCTTGCATTTCAAAGGAAACTGTCTTAGAGACCTGGGTTGCTATTTTTTTTTTACTACAACTGAGACAGGTCCTTGTGACATTTCTCTTCCTGTCTTTTATGTAACTCCTGCCTTTACATTGGTTCTACTTGAAACATACATCCATGGTGCTATGTTCTTCAGCTGACAGTGAAAATGATGTTGTAGGTGTCAGTAGGTTACCAAATCATTAGCATGAACTCTTTGTTAGTCATTTTAAGATAAAACCATGAATGAAACCTTTATTAATGTTTACAGGGGGGTTCAGATCATGCACTTTGTATCGCTAGTGGCTTTCTAAAAAAAAGTTTGGTTACAGACTGCAGAAAACACTTGTGCAACCAAAATTCCCCTAAACTGTGGTTTGAGGTATTGAAGATTTAGAACTGATTTGATCCAGGATTTCGGAGATTCAACCCCTAATCCAAACTAGCCACACCTAAATGTGGATCTAACGTTTTGTGTAGTCTTGCATGTGATTGATTGATCCTGTGAAACACACACAGTCTAAGTGCTGTCACATACATTCTCTAAAGCACAGGTGTGCGTTATTCACAATCTGAATACAGAGGGTAAAGCGTAACAATCCTTATCTTTATGGTGGCTGATGCAGTTCCACAACAGATTTGCTATCCCTGCTAGATAAGCAAGCTCACAAGCTTGTATGTACAGGTACCTGCATAGCTATATGCTGGACTTACGCTTTTGAAAAGATTACGGATTTCATTTCATATGGTTTGGGGGAAAACTTCAGGGGAAAAAAAACCCCAGTAGTCAATTCATTCAACTAAATAGACTTCTTTTACATTGAAACATAAACTGTTCCACTTTAAACAATACATATCCGAGTTAAAAGATTAAGTTATAGGTATGTTTATAAAAACAAGTGAGCAATTTAATTGGATTGGTTAGAACCAAAAGAAGTAACTGGGAAGGGAAACACCAGAGCTGGACGCAAAAGTATCCTGAAAAGGAACCACTTACCAGGTTATCTAAAGCTTTCAGTTTACCCTTAAGTAAAGCAAGCTCCATCCAACTGAATCTATAAAATAAACTTAGAGCAGTACTGAGCTATAAAAATATTTAGGGGAGCCCTTTCATTCTGCTGTTCTTGCATGTGGGAAATCCATTTCCACTTTCCTGCTTCTTCACCAGAGCCTCAAGAACACTACTCTTGTGTCTTTATATTCAATTCACAAGAAAGGCTTCTTTTCATTCTGACATAAGTATTTAACTTTAATTATATCATTAATGTTTTATAGTAGAACTAAATCATACCAAAGGATGGTGATGTCCTGGGGGGGTGGGTATGTCTTGAGTTTCATTTGAAAAGACGTACATTAGACGATAATGCCTTTGGATGGTACATGATCCCTGAAAGCAATTACCAAAGAAAGCGTGAATCTAAAAGACTGAGAATGTCTCCTTATCCTGGTGTTCCTGACACAACTGCCTTCTTCTGTGGCTTTAGAGGTACTGTAACTAAAGGATGAAGTGTTTGTGGGACTGAAGCAAGGCAGTTCTGAGTTCTTCTCATCTTCTGAGTTCTCTTATCCCCAAATTAAATTGGAAGTCTGCAACACCTGAAAAATTTCTCTGGCTCTACACTGGAATAACCACACAAACACCTTACTGCACCTGACATAACAGCAGAAAGCAGATGTTTAACATAGCCAAAATCAGTTCATCAGCACTGCTCTGGTTGGTTGTCAGAGAAGCTCTCAGCATCATTTTGCATTAATTTCTTTCCCATTACAGAGCTTGTCTCTTTGTTCCTAACAGTTACTTAAGAGACTTTTAAATCAGCATTAATTTGGAAAGTTGGTCGTTGCCTTTGTAAATGATTTTTTTGATGCTCCTCATTTAAAGCATGAACGTAAGTGCTCCCTTGCAGTCTGGAGTGACCAGTGTGCTCTCCAGCGTGTACATTACAACAGCCATGGATAAGTATTTTCAAAGGTTGTCTCTTCTGGAATGGTTCTCCAATAACCAGACTACTTTCTCTTTAATTATTTTTGGTTCTTCATGCCTTCTTGTTTGAAAAGTTCAGGTTCCTCCTCCATTAGATTGAATTTTAAGATGATCAAGAGTCCTATGCAACACGAATGCTGTGGTTTATGGCCATAAATTGCCTGATGTCCTGATAAGAAAATTCTTTTTCCCATCAGTAGCAAAATACGTAAAGAACATTCATGCCTCAGTGTGGAACCAAATCTTTGCTATACATCACTGTATTTGAAGTGTAATTTCAAAATGCTCCTGTCCTCTCCGCGCAGTAGCTGAATGGTGATTAACATTGCTTTTCCCTAGTGGTGTAGAGCGATTGCCCCAGCTGAACCCTCCTGCCTTACAGATCAGGTTTTTCCCAGAACAGCATTTATTTTTCCTGAGAAGTTTTGTCCATCCAGCATTTAAGGATTCTGATGGTTGCATAACTTCTTCATCCCTACACAGTGCCCTCAGTGCTGCCTGCCCAGTGTCAGGCAGGCTCTCAGCTGTTTTTAAAATGGAGGCTGTGCCGTGAGAGGGAACAGAGCAGTGTCTGCCTGTTCACACAGGCTCCCATTTGCCTGTCCTTTTCAAGAACACATCATAGGAGCATCAGGCACTATTATGAGACTTTGTGTTGGTTTTCTTTCTCCCTAAACTAGTAGTTGTTGGCTCACAGGCTGAGTAGTCAGGATTGATGTAGTAATTTTGTATAATCCTATGTGCACTCACCTGCAAAGCACCTCTGCATACAAGTGGCTGTTGTTACACGTGAGAAGGCCAAACACCAAACAGCTTCAGCTAAGGCAGATGTGAGCAGTACTGGTGTTTCTGCATACTTTGGTGGCTAATTAGCACAAGGCAAGATGCCTGAAGAATACAGAAAATCAGCTTCCCTCCCAAAAAAGTATCCTTTTGCCTGAATTCTTTCTTTTATAAAGTAACGGTTTGTTAAATTCTGTATCTTATTTCAAAGTTTTCTCTATGGGAAAGACATGTTCTGACTTAGATCACAATAGTTCTCTTGCCGGATTCACCTCACCTATTTAACACCAGCCAGAACTTTTGTCATTCTACAGTCTTAGCCGACACAGTATAGATCAAAAACTAAACGTTATTCCACTTTATAAAGGCATCTATATGATCACAGTGTAATTTAATTTTTCAGTATAATTTAATGCCATTTTGGTTCCTTCTATGAAAGTAAGCAACTCATCCAATTTACCTGTATTGAAGCATCAGTTGCTATGTAAGAATTTTGAATTAATTTGTTAAGGTGCACTCATCTAACTCCTTTTTATTGTACTGAACAAAGCAATTCACTTACATACTTTATATGCAAGAACTATAGAAGAAGATAGACATTAAAATTATATAACCTGAAATTACTACTGCAATGCTAACAAAAATGAAATTTTATGAATCATACTCATGGAAAGTGTTTTCTTTTTAAAGGTGCAGAACGTGTCATTACATTGAAAATGGAAATTCCTGGATCCATGCCACCTCTTATTCAGGAAATGTTGGAAAACTCTGAAGGACATGAACCACTGACACCAACCTCAAATGGAAATACTGCAGAACACAGTCCCAGTATCTCACCTAGTTCAGTGGATAACAGCAGTGTCAGTCAATCCCCTATGGTGGAATAAGACATTTTCCAGCTACTTCAGACATTCCTAATACCTTATGTACAGGGATGAAAAGCAAGAAAAACATTTTTACTGCTGCTTAGTTTCTGGACTTAATATATATCTATATATGTGTATATATATATAGATAAACTCAACAAGGACCAAGAAATTTTCATATGTATCGATATATATACTCCTTGCTGTTTAAACTCTTAAAATAGAAAATGCAAACTTTTGAAACTCTAAATCAGCCATTTCATGCAAAAAATAGTTAAGCTTGTTTTCTCCTCTGAACATTCAATATTGCATGGTGACAAGACAGATCTCAAACTTAAAATTCTGGTTGCATTTCTGATGACTTTGTACATACAAATGTATGGCTGTACTCTCCATACTGGATGTTTGGTGCTTTCCTTTTGTCTGTCATACCTAAGATGATCAAGACACCAACATACGAAATGGACTACTGTACACATCCAGAGAAGGAAGTTTAAAGGACCGTCTGATTGAGTTTAAATATGAAAACTTGTCTTTGATGTCCTCAGTTTGCATCTCCTTCCTTGTAAAAAGTATACAAAACTTCACTGCCCCAGCAGAAGAGATACCGGTATCAGCATTAACTGCCAGATCAGTTATTCAGATGTCATTTGTTCCACTGTTAATGTCACTTTAAATTCTAAAGAAGTGGTTTCTTAGCTGGCTGGTGATCTAGCTACACAATTAACAGCTCCATTTCTACAGCAGTGCTAGCCTCCAAGGCAGAAACACTTTTCAGTGTTACCATGTTTTTGTTTACTTGTTCACAAGCCATTAGGGAAACTTCATGGGATGATAACCAGCAGACTCATTTACAGCTTTTGAATCGCTGAGTCTAGGGTATTTCCTTAAGAATCAACTGCCAGGAATCAGCTGGGTTATCCAGCCTTCCAGGTGCTAGGGAAGTACAGCTAAGACTTCCAGAAACACAAGGAGAGAATCTGCCTTCTTGGCCTTGTTAAATCACCATGAAGCAGAGTGAAAACTGTGGTAGAATGGTTAACAGATTTAAAGTGTCAGTTTCTTAGGTTTCATTTAAAGCACTAGTGGAATTTTTTTTTTATATATTCTAGCAAGTCTGTGATGTACTTTCACTGGCTCTGTTTGTACATTGAGATTGTTTAACAATGCTTTCTATGTTCATATACTGTTTACCTTTTTCCATGGAGTCTTCTGGCAAAGAATAAAATATATTTATTTTAAAAACTGTGTAGAAGTAGTCCCTGTAGTCCACACACACACACACACACACGATAGTTTTCCATTTTTTAATGTTTAAACTTCATTTCAAAAAGCAGGTTTGCTGTTTGCAACCATGACAATTAAAATGTGCTTTAGCACAGCTGTCTAGAACATCTCTACAAGCCAGTCAGACAAATACATGACATTTCAATGAGTAAAAAAGAGCATAAAACTGTAGGTGTAAGAACAAAATGTTAAAATGCCTACACACAATAATAAAAACCATCAATTACATTATCACATAAAATAAGTCAAATGTACAAAAGTTTGCGACAGAGGGGACAAAAGGACAACACAAGATATTTGTTGGAAAACATTTGTGTGCTCTTTGGGCACTTAATTAAACATATCAAAATCATCATCTTCATCAGACTCTGCAAAATATTTAACTTCTTTCCTGGCCCGGCCCGTCCGTGGCTTTGGGGCAGTTTCGGAGGCAAAGCCTGACTGAAAGATTTCCACATCAGAATCCTGGTCAAAAGCAGCCTTTTTGGATTTCTTAAGAAAAGAAAAGACAAATCAGTTGTGATGCTGTGTATGTTTTCCCTTTTAATTTTCAGAATTGAAGGAAACCTCTCTAATACCTCATTTCTAACCACACCTACACCCCCATTACCATATTAGCAATTTATAATAGGATGCTCCTTTTATGTAAAGTAATACATTAGGTTCTTTTTACAAGGAGAAGAGAGCACAGAGGAAACTTACCTTGCTTGGTGTGGACTTGGGTGTTTTCTTCCCAGGGTTGTATTCACCTTCATTTTCTGAACCAGATGCTTTCCTTTTCTTTGCCCCTCTACCTTTTCCTAGGTGAGAGATTACGAGTTAACTTTTTCTTTTTTTTTTTTTCCTAATAAACTTCAGACTTCCTCAAACTGAAAAGAACCCTAGTGAAGTTACTTTAGTATATCTACATGTTAAAGTTCAAATCCAACTGAAGCTTCTTCACAACAGCAGTAAAATACAATATCTTTTCTGTTTTAAATCTTTTATACTTCTTTCATAGTTACCCTGACAGTTCAAGCTGTCGGTTCAAGACAGGGACAGACTTCATGACATCAGATAACTTCTAGACTGCTGAAGTATTATAAGTCCTTGATCACCTTCTGTACTCATTACACAGCATTAATTCATGTTTAGTATTTAGTACATTTCCTCTAACCTCAACCAGCAACACTGACACATCCTTTACAGACTCCTCCGATTACACCACTCAGTGTGCTGTGGTGTGAGGACTCTCAGAAATGGGATACCAAAGAACTGCTTTAAAAAGCCAGAAATTGCTACTTACGAGAATTTTACTGTCTTGGAAAAAAAAAATGAGATCAAAGAAAATAACTAGTATCCAGTAGAACTGAAGAGGAATGGGGAGTGTGGAGCTATTAAGTGCATTTCCAACAGTGAAGATTAGATAAAAAAGTTCACACATTGTTTCCCAAGAAGTCAATACACTGTATTTGTCAGAAAAAAGGCTCATGGCTGAGTAATCTAATTCTGATCAATTTACTAATAACTCAGTGTGGTTCTAATAATAATTGTGAACCTTGTGCTACAGGGAGCACAGATGTGACTCTTACCTTTGGGTGCTGCAGTCTTCTTTGGAATGCCGAATTCTGAATCTGAATCAGAGTTTACAGTTTCCACCTTCTTAGCCTTGGGAGCTCTTTTAGGTTTAGGGGGTGCATCTAGTTTTGCTGTTAGAAGTTAGAAATACTAAATACGTTAAATTCACATATTGGTTAGAAGCATTAAATTGTATTAGATACTCCAATTACAGCATAAATGGCAGACATTATAACAAAATGAGCAGTTTCTGCACTCAGGGAAAACATACTTCAGCTTTTATGTTAAAACTCTGTGGAATAAACAGGAAGTTTCCTGTGTCATGCTTTGAGATATATTGGTGCATTCAGTAAATTCCAGCGTTCTTCATTGAATACTTTTTCATCTTGTTGATCACAAAACAGGTTACTAGCAGCTAAAGCAGCAACAGAAGTTCTCCAGGTTGGATGCTTTGAACATATCTGGATACATTACAGTGTTTACAGATACAAGTGTTCGTGACATTTTCACCTTCAGGATGGTATAACTGCTGGACAGCTTTCTCCAGGATTACTGCAAGAGTTTGGGAGATAGTGCATCTGGCTCTGTGACATAGTTTTCTGTCAATCTCAGTGAAAAGAAACTTCAGAAAAAGCAGAAAGAATAGGAAGGGGACATATCCATGCATTTCTTACAGAATTTCATTTAGTGGTACACATCTAGTCTTGCTGTCTTTAAAAGATGACCACTGGAATGTTCACACAGTGGGTGTTAAGGGATAGAATCATAGAATCATTTAGGTCAGAAAAGACCCTTAAGATCATCAGATAATGTGTTCTATAGGCTTACAGATGAGTAAGTCTTTTGCAGAAACCTCAGATACTCTCCTGACCTACACTCTTATCAGCCACAAATACCTCAAATAGACACATGTAAAAACTCTAGATATTAGGAATGTGGACATTTGTGAGACTCGAGCTTGCATTTATATTATCGCTAGGGGAATGTGTTTGGAGAACAAGAGAGCATCTCCACAAGCTTTTTGGCTATGATGCCTTGAACTGCCCACTGGAGAGTCACTGCAAAATGTCTTTTCAGCTTTTTATGATAATACCTACTGGGCAGTCCACATATCAGGTCCTGCCAACACAAAAAATAAGATCACCTTTGGCATCATGGATAGGGAATAAAATGGTGTTGGTTATGGCAGTATTTCAGAAAAGATTTGTGGAAGGAAGCAACAATGCTCAGGAACCACAGTTGAAAGCAGCTTGAAATAGGTCTCTCTAGGTATCTCAGCTGGGAAATAACACCTGTATTAGCATAAAGCAAAACTAAGTCAGTCGCAAAGACCTACCACTAAGCCTGAAAAAAGTACACAGCAACTAAAAGCAGGAGAAATACTTTCTAGAAGCATCACCAAAAGTAAGTAGCTAGTGATCAGTAAATGAGGGGGAAGTCCTACCTGAAGATATATGATTTTAGGTCCCATTAGGCAAATGCTTCATACAGGAAAAGCTTTACCAGCGTAAGAAATGTAGACTAAGGGGCAGGGAAGAGAAAGATTCAGAAGTTTCATCAACTGGAAGATGATGAGCAGAAATTGTGACTGAGAGGATCTTAGTAGAAGGGATACATTTGAGATCTAGGTGACATTCAGCATCAGGAGCTGAGGTTGAGACACTCTCCTACAGGATTATGTGTGCTTTGGCCAAGTAAATGTAGTGCCTCACACAGTTCCTCATGGTGTTCACGTGAAACCTGCATACCAAATGCAAGCCAAGGATGCTCTATTGACAAGTACTCCCCAGCACATATACCATGAGATGTAACTATCTTCAGCTGGTTCTGAGTCCTCAAGTTTGTTAACCAATGTTAGAAAAGGAGCAAACTTCTCACTGGTAAACAAGGAACTGGGAGAAGGAAATAACTGGGGAATGAAAGACAGATGCCACACTGCCATAAACACTAGATTTTGTTCTTCCCTTGAAAGAGAGCCTATTATCACTGTTTAACTCCTTTGAAGTCTACTTGCAGAACAGCAAGTTGAAGGGACAGCAAGCCTCTTAATTGTTATCTGGTGCCTAAAGGAATAGTCTCCAAGGCTTCCAGAACACTTATTTCCCTCTGTACTAAATATAGGGGGTTCTCATCTGCTATCTTAAATTATATACTTAATGCCTGCACAAGTGTGAAGGATCTCTGACAGCAACTAGACTGCAATCAGCTCAGCCAAGCTCTCCCCTAGATACCATGACATGAAACCGAAGTCCGCAGTACAATCAATGTACACAGGCCCTCAAGAAGCCCAAGTTTTTGGCAGGAAGTCCAGGTATGTCTGGTATATCAGTCCTACAGCTGATGCAAAGAGTATGTCTCATTGCTAGAATCTCAACAGCTGGGCTGTTCAAGGGGAACAGCTGCTTATAATCATGAGTAAGGCTGTTT